AAACTTTTTTTTAAAGTAACGGACTTTATGTCCGCCATCTTGGATTGGTTTCGTTGCCGCGTGAGACACGCATGAGAAGGCGGTGCAAACCTCACGTAACACGATTCTGATTGGTTGATTATTTTTTGATCTCCTGAAGGAGTTTGCAATGCGCTCGATCCCAGACCCATGTGGTTCAGCCAAACGCCTCTGGTGGAGCATGGCGGAACTACAAGGGTCTGGCGTGAGCCAGGCTTGTCTATCCGGCTCGAAGGACCAAATGTTACGTTGGTGGCGGACAGTATTGTGCTGATTCAAGAAGAGGTCAGACATGAGACAAGATGGAAGGAAGACAGGGAGAGACCAGGTTGGAGCTCCAGTGTTTACTGCACTACCACTGATGCACAGGTGGATATGCACACAGTGTTTCATCAGTGACTCTGAGGCAGCAGTGGGCTGGTACACTCACACAAAGTCAGATTCTGACTGTTTGGGCTGGAACACTCACACAAAGTCAGATTCTGACTGTTTGGGCTGGAACACTCACACAGTCAGCTTCTGACTGTTTGGGCTGGAACACTCACACAGTCAGCTTCTGACTGTTTGGGCTGGAACACTCACACAGTCAGCTTCTGACTGTTTGGGCTGGAACACTCACACAGTCAGCTTCTGACTGTTTGGGCTGGAGCACAACAGCTGCAGTCACAAGAACGAGCCAGCTGTGCCTTTAGTACACAGGTGCTTACACTTGGTACAAATCCACAGCAGAGTCTGAACACAGGGACTGAACACATGGACTGAACACATGGACTGAACACAGGGACTGAACACATGGACTGAACACATGGACTGAACACATGGACTGAACACAGGGACTGAACACATGGACTGAACACATGGACTGAACACATGGACTGAACACAGGGACTGAACACAGGGACTGAACACATGGACTGAACACATGGACTGAACACAGGGACTGAACACAGGGACTGAACACAGGGACTGAACACATGGACTGAACACATGGACTGATCGCAGGGACTGATCACATGGACTGATCACATGGACTGAACACATGGACTGAACACATGGACTGAACACATGGACTGAACACATGGACTGAACACAGGGACTGAACACATGGACTGAACACATGGACTGATCACAGGGACTGAACACAGGGACTGAACACAGGGACTGAACACATGGACTGAACACATGGACTGATCGCAGGGACTGATCACAGGGACTGAACACATGGACTGAACACATGGACTGAACACATGGACTGAACACAGGGACTGAACACAGGGACTGAACACAGGGACTGAACACAGGGACTGAACACATGGACTGAACACATGGACTGATCGCAGGGACTGATCACATGGACTGATCACATGGACTGATCACATGGACTGAACACATGGACTGAACACAGGGACTGAACACAGGGACTGAACACAGGGACTGAACACATGGACTGAACACAGGGACTGAACACAGGGACTGATCACAGGGACTGAACACATGGACTGAACACAGGGACTGAACACATGGACTGAACACATGGACTGAACACATGGACTGAACACATGGACTGAACACATGGACTGAACACATGGACTGATCACAGGGACTGATCACAGGGACTGAACACATGGACTGAACACAGGGACTGAACACAGGGACTGAACACAGGGACTGAACACAGGGACTGAACACATGGACTGAACACATGGACTGATCGCAGGGACTGATCACAGGGACTGATCACATGGACTGATCACATGGACTGAACACATGGACTGAACACAGGGACTGAACACAGGGACTGAACACAGGGACTGAACACATGGACTGAACACATGGACTGATCGCAGGGACTGATCACATGGACTGATCACATGGACTGAACACATGGACTGAACACAGGGACTGAACACATGGACTGAACACAGGGACTGAACACATGGACTGAACACAGGGACTGAACACATGGACTGAACACATGGACTGAACACATGGACTGAACACATGGACTGAACACATGGACTGAACACAGGGACTGAACACATGGACTGAACACAGGGACTGAACACAGGGACTGATCACAGGGACTGAACACATGGACTGAACACAGGGACTGAACACAGGGACTGATCACAGGGACTGAACACATGGACTGAACACAGGGACTGAACACATGGACTGAACACATGGACTGAACACATGGACTGAACACATGGACTGAACACATGGACTGATCACAGGGACTGATCACAGGGACTGAACACATTGACTGAACACAGGGACTGAACACAGGGACTGATCACAGGGACTGAACACATGGACTGAACACAGGGACTGAACACATGGACTGAACACATGGACTGAACACAGGGACTGAACACAGGGACTGAACACATGGACTGAACACAGGGACTGAACACAGGGACTGAACACATGGACTGAACACATGGACTGAACACAGGGACTGATCACAGGGACTGAACACAGGGACTGAACACATGGACTGAACACATGGACTGAACACATGGACTGATCACAGGGACTGAACACATGGACTGAACACATGGACTGAACACATGGACTGAACACAGGGACTGAACACAGGGACTGATCACAGGGACTGAACACATGGACTGAACACATGGACTGAACACATGGACTGAACACAGGGACTGAACACATGGACTGAACACAGGGACTGAACACATGGACTGATCACAGGGACTGAACACATGGACTGAACACATGGACTGAACACATGGACTGAACACAGGGACTGAACACAGGGACTGATCACAGGGACTGAACACATGGACTGAACACATGGACTGAACACATGGACTGAACACAGGGACTGAACACAGGGACTGAACACAGGGACTGAACACATGGACTGAACACATGGACTGACCACATGGACTAATCACAGGGACTGAACACATGGACTGAACACAGGGACTGAACACAGGGACTGAACACATGGACTGAACACAGGGACTGAACACAGGGACTGAACACAGGGACTGAACACATGGACTGAACACAGGGACTGAACACATGGACTGATCACAGGGACTGATCACATGGACTGATCACATGGACTGATCACAGGGACTGAACACAGGGACTGATCACATGGACTGAACACAGGGACTGACCACATGGACTGAACACACGGACTGAACACAGGGACTGAACACAGGGACCAACCACAGGGACTAACCACAGGGACTGAACACAGGGACTGAACACAGGGACTTCAGCTGCTGTTGGATCCGACAGTGAAGTCATGGAGAAATAAAACGTAGTAATAAATGAGGCGACTGGAGAAACTGCGAGTTTGGAAACTCTGTCTCTTATAACGCTGAGAGAGACCAGAGAGAGACCAGAGAGAGACCAGAGGGAGACCAGAGGGAGACCAGAGAGAGACCAGAGAGAGACCAGAGAGAGACCAGAAAGAGACCAGAGGGAGACCAGAGAGAGACCAGAAAGAGACCAGAGAGAGACCAGAGAGAGACCAGAGAGAGACCAGAAAGAGACCAGAGAGAGAGCAGAAAGAGACCAGAGAGAGACCAGAAAGAGACCAGAGGGAGACCAGAGAGAGACCAGAGAGAGACCAGAAAGAGACCAGAGGGAGACCAGAGAGAGACCAGAGAGAGACCAGAGAGAGACCAGAGAGAGACCAGAAAGAGACCAGAGGGAGACCAGAGAGAGACCAGAAAGAGACCAGAGAGAGACCAGAAAGAGACCAGAGGGAGACCAGAGAGAGACCAGAGAGAGACCAGAAAGAGACCAGAGGGAGACCAGAGAGAGACCAGAGAGAGACCAGAGAGAGACCAGAAAGAGACCAGAAAGAGACCAGAGAGAGACCAGAGAGAGACCAGAGAGAGACCAGACAGAGACCAGACAGAGACCAGAGAGAGAGACCAGTCCTTTGCTGTTTGTTCTCAGTGTTGTGAGTCCAGCAGCAGTGGAAGCTGTGGTTAAAGCGTCTGTGGCTGATCCTGGACCTGTCATTACTGAGTTTGATCCACGACACAGGACCAGGCACAGGACCAGGACCAGGACCAGGACCAGGACCAGTCCATCATTTACAAGAGAATTATACAAATTTAAAATCATGGTTTAATGTCCCGTCACTCGTCCTGGATCATCTTCCTTCTCCTTCTCCTCCTTCACACATTGGAGAAGAGAGAGACTGAGGATTTGCTTGTTTTGGGCTTAAATGCGAGAGAAGAGAGAGACTGAAAACCTAAGACAGATCAGATCGGTCTGGTCTCGGTCCTGGACTCTGGCTCAGCAGTGGGAGCAGCCCTGACCTCAGAGCTAAATGCTGCAGCTCTGAATCATCGTTGACTCCCGCAGACCTCACCATCAGCCGCTCATGATACTGACCGAAGCAAAAGGCCACAAATAGATCTCATAACGTCAGAAAGAGAGCACATCCCCCCTGTGCTGCTGTCACTTCAAGGTTGATTTCCTTGATTTAAAGGCTTTTTCCCCCAATATTTCGGACAAAACTGTTATCTCTTTATGGTGATGTCTCTCTCTGGTCTCTCTCTCTGGTCTCTCTCTCTGGTCCCTCTCTCTGGTCTCTCTCTCTGGTCTCTCTCTGGTCTCTCTCTGGTCTCTCTCTGGTCTCTCTCTGGTCTCTCTCTGGTCTCTCTAGTCTCTCTCTCTGGTCTCTCTAGTCTCTCTCTCTGGTCTCTCTAGTCTCTCTCTCTGGTCTCTCTCTGGTCTCTCTCTCTGGCCTCTCTCTGGTCTCTCTCTCTGGTCTCCCTCTGGTCTCTCTCTCTCTCTGTGTACTCTCTCTTTGACTATCTACAGCAGCCATTCCCAAACTCAGTAACACCGAGGCCCCCTTAAAAATCTGACAGGTCTGCGTGGCCCCCCAAAATAATAACCAAGAAGACAACATTAAGAATAGGCTCTTCTGGTTATTTTATTTTGGGGAAATAGCCTCTGCTACATACACAAATTATTAC